CTTAGGATATTTCTATGTAATTTCAAAAGCTGGCAAGTCGGGATGGTCAAACAAGCAAAGTTTTGAAAGAGCCGCTTGTTCATACTCAAGGCAACCTATGAATAGCTTATAGCTGACTCTGCACAATAAACTGGAATATGAGAAAGAATCTCTAAAATAACATCTGTTGTCAGCAAGGGATGAGAGTTTTTCCAGCATCAGAGGTTTATCAGACCACAACACTGTTTCGTTCTCTATCTGAGCACAAACCCAGCAGACACGTCTTAAAGCAGAGTGTGTGTGAGACTTCAGCACTACTATTATGAAAACAGACAAACAGAGACGAAGATACAAACTCTAACATATTGCAGTGGGTCTGCACTTACTTGATTAATACTTAACCGGCACTTGACTGACTTAGCAAAAACTCTCAAATCTTCGTAAGAAGCCTCTTTTTTCCATAGATCATCACTCTGAGCACTCAGGAGTGAGTGAGTGCACAAGATATGGACGTAGTATATCTTCTAGAAAGCACCATGGTGCCTCCTCAGATGACCATTTGTGCACTGCTTTTTTAGCACGCTCTGCCAAAATACATTTCAGCATCAGCCACTGATATTAGGGATGTGCAAAACTACATTCAAAATGGCAGGGGTCTCAAGACAAGTTTTTAAAAGTTTAACTGTTGTAACTTTAATTTCCTATATTTACACATGCACTGGCTAAAGATGTTAATCTGAATGTATACAATATTTTTTTGTCTAAAACGAGTTCACATTTAAAGTGAAAGTTCACCGGTAGCCATTGACTTCCATATTATTGCTTCCATACTATGGAAGTCAATGGCTACCAGCAACTGTTTGTTTACCAACATTCTTCAAAATGTCTTTTTTCGTGCTCAACCAGAAGAAAGAAACTCATACAGGTATGAGACAACATGCGGGTGAGTAAATGATGACAGAATTTTCATTTTTGAGTGAACTATCCCTTTAAGATGGGTGTCTCAATGTGTTTTAAATCCAAATGCTATAAATTCAAGCTTGATTTGAACTTGAAGTAAGATCAACTTTGGAAACTAGACTAGAAAGCTCTTCTAAAATATGTTTCTTGGATGTTAAGAACGTATGAAACTTAATTGCACATTTGTGCACTGCAGGTGAACTGCACAGACTACTAATTAATAGCACAGAGATCAGATTAAGACACAGTATCCAACCCAGATCAGAGAGATTGACATCTGACCAACTGACTGTGAGATCTCCAGTGGCACAGGCCTTACAAAACTGTGTCAGTCAAACAAGATCATGTCAGGTGCTGATACAGTCGTAGACAGAGATTAAGTTCATTTAAAGGAACTTTAAATACAGTCTCTCCCACGGAATAAAACATAATGTTTTCACAACATCAATGATTTCTCATGCATTTTATTGAGAGATGTGTGCTGTTACATTTTTTACATCACTGTTACATGATTATATATATATATATATATATATATATATATATATATAAAAAAAATTAAGATGTCCTTGGTTCAGTGTACTTATACACTGAAGTACTAAGTGACATTAATTAACTACATACTTGCTATATGGTTAGGCTTAGGATGAGGGTTACATTTTAGGTTAGTTGCATGTAATTAGGCATAATTTATTGTTATTACTATAGTAAGTGCATGTAACAAGGACACTGTAAAATAAAGTGTTACCAAAATATCTAACTTAAAGCATAAACAATAGTACTAATGATATTAGCACCATTAAGAGAGAAATCATGGTAACACTTTATTTTACAGTCCTGTTCCACATGTACATACTATGTACTTATTATTGTAATTGCAATTACTGGGCAATAACTAGGTACTAACCCTGAACCTAACCTTTACCCATGTAGTTAAATTATCCAGTACTTTCTTAGATAAGTAGGCCTACACTGTAATTACATGTAAGTGCAAATACTGTAAAATAAACTGAAATCACATACTAATACAACAGCTTGTTGTATTCCTCACTTGATAAAGGTGTCTGCTAATAAATGAATGTAAATAATATAGCAGTTACTCATGTGGACTATTTGGAAAATCTCACTTAAGTTTGAAATGTGTCCAAAATGCACAAAAAGCTTTCAAAAACGTACTGTTTTCACATCATGCACCTGCTCAGAAGTTACTTTGCTGTGTTTGAGTCTGGCAGTAAACGCATTGATTTTTAAACTATCAATGTCCTGTTATACTTTCAACACAAGAACAGTGTGAACAGATCGTTTGGGGTGGAAGTGAAAATCTCAAACATATGCACACATACTGTTCAAAAGTTTGGGTTGGCAAGATTTTGTAATGATTAAAAAAAAGTCTCTTATGCTCACCATTTGATCAAAAATACAGTAAAACAGTAATATTGTGAAATATTATTACAGCTTCAAACAACTGTTTTCCATTTGAATTTATGTTAAAATGTAATTTCTTCTTGTGATCAAAGCTGAATTTTCAGCATCATTACTCCAGTCTTCAGTGTCACATGATCCTTCAGAAATCAGTATAATATGCAGATTTGCTGCTCAATAAATATTTCTGATTATTATCAATGTTAAAAACACGTTGTGCTGCTTAATATTTGTGTGGAAACCATTATACACTTTTTCAGGATCCTTTGGTGAATTAAGTTCAAAAGAACTGCATTTATTTAAAATAAAAACCTTTTGTAACTTTATAAATGTATTTACTGTCACTTTTATACAATGTAATGCATCCTTGCTGAATAGAATTTCTAAAAAAAACAGTGGCACAGTACTGTCACAATGAACAAATAACTAAACTGAATTTCAAGTTACGATTTCAGCAATAACCCAGACATGCTGGCATAATGCAGAATGTTGAGCAATCAGTGATATGGCTTATCAGAAACATGAACTTTGAATAACCAGTCTGATCTGCCAAAACAAAAGCATGATAAACACAGTTTTGAGACATCAAATCACATCAGTATCCCAACAGTACACTTTAGAAGTGTGACAGTCAAGACTGCAGCATGCACATCCACTGAATATCAAGTCATAATACAGGAAAAGTTTCGGTTTGTTAGTTCATAAGAGAATAGTCTCAGTTCTCTATCAACAAACAGGCACGTGGCAGAAGTGTAGCGCAGCTGAAGCTCACGCTGTTTGGCAGTGATGCTGGTCAGGTGGCCTACAAACAGACTGGCACAGCACTGGAGGTTCACTGGGTTCAATCCAGCCTCGGAACGTAGAGCCAACTGGGCCACTCCAGCAAATAATATGCCTGCTCGCTCTAAACACAGAGCCCACTGCATCTGAGAGCAAATATTAATGGCAAGAAGCAGAATCAGAGCACAAGACTGCTAGATAAACAGATGCTAAATTATGCGATAGTTGAAATAAATATTTAAAAATCTTTCCAGTGCCTTGAGCAATAAAACCATCAATTCTCAGCATTCAGTTTGTCTCTAGTATATAAAAAAGCTAAATCTAGTGTGTAGCACTGATTATATATAGAAACACCAGATGACTGTAACACAGAGGACTCCAGGTTATGAGTAGTTCATGATCATGTGACTCTTTGAACAAACGCTCAGATGTTCTTGATTCCTTTGAAGCACAAGATGATCTTTTGAATCTTTCTCAAATCATGCTGGAAAACAGGATTAGCAGGTTTCATACAAACTTGCGGAGCTCATGCAGATCAAATGCTGCATTAAAACAAAACAGGGATATTTTCCAATTCATGCTTATTTTTTCACGCTGTTAATATAATATGTACTGGAATTTGTATTAAGCTACAAAAACAATAGCATTTTGACTCAACAAGTGCAAATAAATTTGACTTTTTGACCAATATAGTCAAAAATACAATTACTTACATTTGATTAGTAACCTAGAAATAATACAGAATCTTCTGTTTCATGCCATAAAAAAAAATCTGATATATATAAACCTAACCCTAACCCATGTAGTTACCTTATATTATCCAGTACTTTCTTAGTTAAGTACAGGTAAGTGAACGTACTGTAAAATAAAGTGCAACCATAATTTCTATTAAACTACTATATATATATATATATATATATATATATATATATAAACATATAAAATACACAATATATATATATATATA